GCATGTATAGAAGTATGCAAAAGGGGGTGGTTGGAAATTATGAAAGTGCTTGAAGGTTAAGTGAGGGCTCGATTAAATGAGATGGTGTTTATAGCAACACCAATGACCACAAATGACCCATATTCCAATTTTCATTTCTGATTCAAGTGCCATTTATATTTGTACATTTAATTATCAAAACTTCCACAAAGTAATAAAGTGTATCATTCACCATGTTTTTAGTTTATCGTTACTTTTTTCTCTTTTCTCTGGAAATAATAGTAAATGTTCAACTTCAAAGTGACTGTCCTATGCATTAACAGGACAATTTATCGTGAGCCCCATTTCGTCTTTATACTGTACTATATACTTTAAGAAATGTATTAATTCTGTGATGCTACAGGTATGTCTTACACTGACTGCTTACTAGCAACTAACTGGCATATTGTAAATATCATAACATGTTAATACAGGTGCCACTAATATACATGTAGCTAAAAATGCTTCTATTTTTTTAAAAATCCTTTTCACCCAAACACCAGGTAGGCTATCATTAGTGTCTTTTTTAACAATTGTTACCTTGTATTGACTAGGTCAATCAACTGCAACTTGGCAAGAATTTCTAGGCAACTGTTAATATAGGGTATCTGGTAAACTTGAAAGAGATTCTTCTGCAATAGGTAAAATAAACTAAATGATTAAACCTATGAACAAACATTTTTTAATACTTTAGTCACAAACACTATTCACATTCACATCAAATTATAATATACTGCAGAAGTGAATAGTTGTCTTAAGATAATACAGTATATTGCTTACATATGATTGAATACTCCAACTCTTTCATTCCTAAAACAAATCGTTACATTGGTTACAATTAATAAAACAGTTTCCAGTGATGGAGGTTTAGTTTTAATGTGGCACTTTCCACATGGTAACATCATGATTTCAATGAGCCACCATAAGAATACTAGAGCACTAACTCCACTGTATTCGATGTTCCAAATAGCAGAGCTGTGTATCACTACTCAACAAGATGGCAGCTGTAGATTCAGCCAATTGAAGTACGCCTAAGCATCATTTTCAATGGCGCCATCAATTTAACATATGGTAGAAGTTCTGAATACTGCCGCTAAGTTACCCACAAGCATGATTTCGATTTTCATTCCTTAACTTCAATCAGATACGCCACTTGGCCTCTTTTTGGATAGGTTAGTTTAATAACGTGACATTATTAATGATGATGATTGATGAAATATAACTATTTATGGGCACAACTCAATTTCTTAGGCCACTATATGAGGAAGGGGATTAGGCCACTACTGTATATGAGGAAGGGGATTAGGCCACTACTGTATATGAGGAAGGGGGTTAGGCCACTACTGTATATGAGGAAGGGGAATTGGATTATTTATTTCTCATGGGGAGGGTTGATGGAAGAAAAGATAAGAGTGCACAACAGAGTAACATTTCTTCAAGGAATTTCTGCCTTGACAGGTGTAGATAATATTAATTGAGAATGGCAAAGGAAAGGAAAACTTGGCATTCCATGGTCGTCAACGGTACCTGATATGGCACATAGAGCAAGAGAGTATACCAAGCCTGAAGGTGGCGCTTTTCCTATGGTGGCCATTGTGTTGAGTATACATACACAACTCCGCATTGCTTCGTTGCCTAGTTGGCACTACAGTTTTTATAATAGCTCTATGACCACCATTAATCTTTCCAAAAAAAATTGATCAAAATGAAACTACAAACATCCTAATTACTCGTTTCTATGCATGTTTATGATAATGTGCCAGTTCCATGTGTTGACATCATGATTTTAGTGACCCTCATTAATATTAGTTATCAGGGAAAATAATATGTAGACAGTCTAATCACCCAATTCTGTGAAGGGCTACGATGTAATGGTAAGGTCATCTACAAAACCCACTAGAATGTATACATACTGTATGTAATCATTTGTCTTTAAATTTTGTGTTTCGGATGCACCTTTGTTTTCCAAAGTGTTCCACTGATGTAAAAGTGCAAGTCCAAATAAATATTATACAGTAACAACACATGATGTAATGGAGGGTCATCTACAAAACCAACCAGAATGTACTATACATATATAGTACCAAATAGGAAAGTATAATACATACTCCCTAGTATTGAAACGCACACCATCATGATAAGATTCAATATATTGAATCTCAACATGATGGCGTGCATTTCAATACTTGGAGAATGTATTATACTTTCTTATCTGAGATTATCAGTGGACCTTTCGGTTATAAAGTACCAACAAATGATGATGTCAACACATGATGTAATGGTAATAAACCCACTAGATGTATTATACATATACAATACAGTACCAACAAATAATGATGTCAACACACATTCCGCTAAGTTGGTCAAGTGACCTACTGTATATATGTGGGTATAAATTGTAAACAGACAGTGGCAGTGACAGTTGGTTATAGGAACAGGCACTAAGCTGTAAGGCACATAGTTATGTTGAATAATATTAGTTGGAATGCCAGTAAGCTATACCAAATTGATTGGAAATTGAACTTTAGAATATTGCCATAATGGTTTGCTAATACTCCAAAATATACTGGCCAGAAATATTAAGATTTTTCAAGAAATGTTAGGTCTAGGCCCCTGCATATCCATAACCTGTATAGGTATGCATGACAGTCTTCAATCCACTCACTGCGAATGACACATGGTACGACTTCTAGGTTAGCTAAAGGTTTACAAAGTATCACATCATTTCCAAAGCCCAAAATGCAAAGAGCAATCGTATTGTCTTTCATTAACAGTGGGCGGTTGCTTTTACAACTACAACATTACCTTTTCCTATATTTTCACACTGATGGCACTTTCAGTTATACCCAATATATAAGCCTATCACACGACCACTACTGGTTCCCAGTCGTGGAATCCGTCTTTTAATTAACGATACGGTCATTTAACCCACTGGATGTACAGTACGATACATATACCAACAAATGATGATGTCAAGAAATGGCACTGTCAAGTTACTGAATATGATAAATTTAAAAGTATAATTGAAGAACACTTGAGTTCTCAATCGTAACTCTTTTATTGTTTATTCCACATAATCAATCTGTTCTCTTGGTATAGATTTAAGAATATTCAGTCAGCATAGGCATAGATCCAGGGGGGATGGGGGATATATCCCCCAATATTTGACAAGGGGAATGGTCCATTGTATCATCCCCCCCAATATTTTGACTATGTATGGGATAAAATGGAGCTTTACACACTCCAAAAGACTGTCACAGAAATAATTTGAAATGTCTTATGCGCTTACAAAGATGAAAATTAGCATAATGTATTAATGTTGATAACAAAATTATTTTATCTGGTACCAATCTAAGCTCTTCTTTTCTTAAATGTTAGATGTGCTTGCAAAGAGAGCCACATTTCACACTGAAGGGTTTGTACGACATCAGTAATTTTATGTCAATTCCAAGAATGTTTTTAAGGTTATATCGGTTGATGAGGAATTTATTGATTAGGCCTATAATAGCAAATTGCATCAATTTATTTTGCAAAACCAAGGTTTCCAGCTTCAGAGGGGGGCACATCCCCTGTCCGCACAAGGGCACACATTGGCGCTAACACCAGGCGCGTAACAGGCGTCTTGGGTCAGAGTTGGTATTTATTTTCCCGGTTAGTAATTTACCATACCCACCCCACGCCACTCCCCATATAGAAAACAATACGACATAGGGCTTATCTTATTTATAATATAGGCCACACACGTGTGTCTGAAACTAAATATAAGCATTTTCATCATGGTTTTATTTATTACAAACATATTCTTTCACCATCAATACATGAGGCCCTTCATTTAGGTCAAAACAATCTATCTTAAATTTGTCTTTCTCGAGTTTGGGACTATTATGTGTTTAAATAACTTAAAAGAATAAACCTAAAAAAGCCCTAAAAACGCAAAATATTTTTGTGTTTTTAGAAATTCTAATTTCGTCGGAATTGATGAAAACTCCCTAAAATGTGCAATTTATAGAAATTGGCCTACCATAACAAGAAATGCGTGCAAAGAATTTGAGAATTTTAGGCACTTTCAGAGGATGCATTTGTCAAGAGGTGGGGAAAGATTTTCCAAAGATGGATATTTTTCCCGTGTCCCCGGTGTTTTTAATTCTAATTTCGTTGGAATTGATCAAAACTCCCTAAAAATGTGCAATTTTTAGGGGAAGTTGGCCCATGTTAACAAGAAATGCGGGCGAAGCGAGCGAAATTTGAGGTTTTTAGGCACTTTCAGGGCAGTGGTGGCGCCAGAGGAGGGGGGCTGGGGGCTATAGATAAATACGATAAATTTTGTCAGGGAACAAACAAACAAACAAAAAAAAATATTTACATGTAATATTCATTTAGCCACCATATTGTTTGTGTTAACATCATCACAACAACAATAAAAATAATAATAATAATAATAATAATAATAATAATAATTCAATGAGATTAATTAAAATAATTTGCATTCTGTTATGACAAATGCTCATTTAGATAGCCTCATTATGGTTGGAATACATCGTGATAGGTGAAGCAACCTCGACCATGACAGCGTGGTTGACAGATTTCTTGCAAAATTTCCAAAATATAGAATTTCACTTTCAAGAATGAGGATGTGAAAATAAATTAGATGGTTACATTGCATACTCTTTGTTTCTTGCTTTAT